CGATTAATTTCAAGTCTGATCATGGAATGACTTCAGTGAGAGAACGATTGAAAACCAGACTGTACTGGATTGAATAGCTGCTTCGTCCTAGTATGAGACTCTTCACCATTATTGACATATGACCTCACCAGGGATTGAACCCATGACTACCTGTTTCCCAGTGGAACCTCAGTTCGTGATCAACCTTGAAATCAATCAAATCTCTGCAAACCAACGCTTGAAAATTAATCTACTGCTTAGTACTATCGGATAACAAGATAAAGTTAGCTGAAGGTCTGTCGAGAAATTGTAACCAGTTGGGTCCACCAATTTGGTTGTGAGGATAGATACTCGCCGATGACACTGGTACTTTAAATCGTTGACTGACACAAGTTAGAATCTTTCAGGATTTCATCATCAGCTGACATTAGTTAGAGAACCACTGGAAGACCTGGGAGTACTGGACAGCTGTTTCGTCCTAGTTTGGGACTCTTCATCAGTACACACCCACCGGGATTTGAACCGGGGTTCTAATGGTTCTCTAACTAATGTCAGCTCATGATGAAATCCTGAAACCAATCAAGTCCCTACAAACCAACACTTGAATAACAAGTTAGAGTCGTTGGGACATTGGATTCCTTCCCGATGGCTGAATGGTCAGTCGGCTCATCTTATTACTTGAACGTCCTCGGTTCGACCCATAGCGGTGAAGTCCTGAGTGCATACTGATGACCGAACAGCTGTGCAGTTCTCCCTGGTTCTCAATGGTCCGTCCTCCGATTAAAGTGGTTTCGTGGCCAAACTCATAAATATTGAATTCATAAAGAATCTCTTTACAATTCTCCTGTACTATTTCATTACATAATCTGTTCTTCCTTTGAGTATAGCACCGTTTTTTTAATATTCCTGTACGTTCCTAGTGGAACATAGGGCTTCAAGCTAGAGCTTTGAATTTCCGGTAGCAGTGGTGTTTATATTTACGGGGTGGGGTTACTAGTCTCATGCCCGACCTTCTCTCTTTACCAGTCTTGTAACTGGCTTCGTGAGTTAAAGGATTTCATCGGCCAGGGATCGAACGCCGGACTACATGAGGCGTAGTCGGCAAGCATTCTACCGCTAGGCCACCGACGCAGTATTCCGCCATGATGACAGCTAATATGAAGGTGTATTATTCTCATCAATTTCATAAAGTTATGATAAGCGAAAGTAATGATTTCTATCTTATAAGCGGTAGGCGGGTGGTGTGGTATAGTATGGGGTGATGTTTGTGTTTATACGTCTTTCTTTCCCTCTCTTGAATTCTGTATGGGCCATCATAGGTGCATATGTTTTCCCATGCATTGAAAGAAATCCTCTAGAATAGTGTAAGTTTGTACGTGCAAAGCTGTGTGTGTGTGTGCACGCGTGTGTGTGCGGGGATCATGGAAAAAAGGTGATAAACAAAATCAAAACTTGCATATAAAGTGTCCAGAGGAGCTAATCGTTTTGATGTTAATAGTTTACTAGCAAAACAGTACTGGTTTCACTTCAACATTGCTGTCCTATATTCTAAGTAAATATATATGCATATATGCCTCGCGTGAACGAAAATGTTAGAAAACGTGTGTTAGGAGTGTGTGTGTGTGGAGAGAGAGAGGGAGAGAGAGAGATGAAAACAGACTTATCAGAGCTAATTTGTGCATTTGCATGATTTTCAGAAAGTTAAGTGTTAATAAGCAAACTGTAGTATTTATATAAACTAAATTATTTTTCATGTTTCTTCTCTTATTATAAAGTTAGTTAAAGAAATACTTAAGTATGAAATTATAAAATTAATGTATTTAATGTGTTGCAGTTTTTTTTTGTGTGTGATATTGTTTACAATAGGCGGAACTGTTTATTTTTCCAATTTATTTTTTATTTTTTGATTTATATAATTCATGGGAAAATTTGTGTTTAACACGGTTGTATTTAGCGAGAGTAGTGTACTATTCTGTCTCATCACGTGGGATACACAGCAGAAGATTGATGTTAACAAGGCGGCTTTCAAAGCCATCTACCTCATAAGCTACTAACCTTAACTTCTTTGTGTCGCTTTCACGTCTCCCATGTATCTCCGAAACGCTGTATCATTTACTTTCTCTGACATCAAATGTATCTCCTTGCTATCTGATGTTTTTATGTTGATGAACTTTTCCTTATGTGTCGGTAGCACAGTGGTTAGAACTCTTGCCGCCCCTGCACATGATCCGAGGTTCGATACCCTGCCGACGCACACCCGATATCTATGGTCGGCCTGCAAAATTTGGGCTACCGATATCCATGCTGAAAATTCCATACTTGTACCAAAAATACAGTGTGGGATCAAGCTGTAAATCAAAAATTAAATAAAAAAATTATACATACTACTGGTTAATCCTATCAGTAGTAAACGCCGCACCACATGCTCAGTAAACTAAAAAACTCGTTTACAATTTAAAATGTCATTGTCAGTCAACTCCTATGTTATAGTTATGTCACTCACCAAAACACATTTTACAATCATTAACTCACTTTTCAAATTTCCTTCTCCATCTTGTAAAAAATTTTTATTAACTGACTGGTCTTGCATCTCATAAGTTGGTGATTACACTCAGTAGAGCATATTTGTCATACAAATACTATTTATTTGTCTCTCCTATTACTAATCTGTTATTCCGCGTAAAATTGCATCTGCTATATAACTGGTTACTAAAACTGCTTTAATCATAATAACTTGAAGAGAATTTATTGAAAGAATGTTCCTCATTCACACCGACTTTGAATTCATGATGTGAGAATATTTCACACTCTTAAATCTAACATTTTTGTTTGTCATTATGGTATCTTCACTGTTATCTCGTAATGAAATCATTATCTTATGTTCAACATATTTTTCTACTGTTTTAATTGCCTTACACACCTTTGAAGTGCATTCAAAAATACCATAGTAATGTGTGATTTAACTTACGTCTGATGAAACCATAGATATAGCAATATTTCTCAGTATTATGTGACAACAGTAAATTTGTGAACTTTCATCGAATGAGATAGTTGAAATATGCATTAAGTATTCTGTATCAGTACAGACATCTATGTGTTGCCATGTCACCTGAAGTGGAATTCTAACGTAGAAGAGGAGAGACTTGGTAAAAGAATGTTTATTTGGAATTTGGTATCTGTATATAGCGAAATTATGTACACCTTATCCGCAAATCGTCATTTGCACGGATCTTCCGTCCTTCTTATTGTGTATCTTTGTCTTCCTTTCCACGTCTCCCATGTATCTCCACAACGGTGTATCATTTTTTTAATCTAAAATCAAATGTATCTTCCTGTTCTTTGATGCTTTTCTGCCAATAAACGCCTGTTTATATACTATTGATAAATTATCTCAGTAGCAAATCCCTCAGAATCAGGTTTGAAGAAAGTTAGACTTGACTAAGCCAAGACACTGTGTATCGTCGTTGGTAGAGTATAACTCACCAACCACGCCTCACGTGGTCCGCGTTCACTTCTCAGCCGACACACTGCCAAACCTCACCTAGACGGTAGTAAACCCAGTAAAGAGTGGGGAGGGGAGGGGATTGGGCTTGAGGCAAGCAAACCCCGCCTCTATCCCAACTTCAAAGCTGAAACTTGGAAGGTAAAGGAATGAAAATAGGACTGAAACATTAGTTGTGTTTCTGTGTTATTCAAAAAAATGTAAGATATTCAGCAGATAGATATATACACAGATATATCACAGTTTCGTTTGTTTTCTGGTCTCCCAATTTTCTCGTTTTAATTATCCTCCTCTTCATTTACATCATTTTTAATGTATTGATTGAAGTTTGTGCAAAAACGTTTACGTCACATTACCTGTCTATCTGTCTGTCTATCTATCTCACAGACTCTGTCTCTGTCTATAGTCTCATAGTGAAAAAAAAACACTTTTAGTTTTTCATTTAATTCACTTTTAAATTTCATTCTAAATTTAAGACACTCGTTTACAAAATATGTATATATCTGAATGCTGAAACATATCTCACATATGCAGACAAATATTCTTAGGTCGTTATATAAGTCGGTTATGAAAGATGCCTTCCTGTGGAAAAAAAAATTGTGTGTAACAGATTGTATCACAATGTAGAGATGATTATTTCAATACACCTTTGTTTCGTTCACATTGAATACTGTGTCACATAGAATAAACTAATCAAGAGTCAGCTATGAAATAACTAACTAAATGAATAAAAGTAACAACAGTAATTGACGAACATTTTTGTATTTCCATTGTCAAACATGGTGTCAAGCTATCATTGTGTGTACGTATATATTATAGTATTTTGTAGGTCCATTCATTGTTACTTTACGCGCATGACTAATATCTAGAACGGACAGACAGTTAACAATGCGTGATACCTGTATCTGGCTAGACTACCTGTTATACCTAACCCTAACCTTTATACTTAAGCGCATTTTTCTAAAACAAGAAAAAAATAACACATTTATTGTTACTTATAGTTTTGAGGTGACAATAGAGCAACATCCATGATGGATTTTACACTGATTAATTGTTACATGGAATTGTTTATTGTCAAAAGTTCACTAGAAGTCGGATAGGATTTGAATTATCTTGTTGACAGTCATATGTTTTATTCATAAAAATATATGTGCATAAGGTTGTTATATAATGTGTTATACAATGAAAGTTTGATAAGAACTAAATCACTTCCCCATAGCTTGTATTCTGACAGCTTTCGTTTTTGTTTCTTCTACTGGCCTACCTCATTTTTGAGTTGGATTTGAATACCGTTGAATAAACAGCGCTGATCTCTACATGAAGGCAATGGATAGTATACACATATATGATTGTTATGTCTTGTCATAATCACATGCCATGTCATCAATTGACATTGCCTTCCCTTTATTCGTTTGCATTATATATATATATATTTCAAGGAAACTATTTATTGCAATACATTTGTCATTTCATTTTCATGCACATTGTTTAATTTTTTTAAAAATGTTTTTGTTGCCAGTTCCAAATGATTGATCTTGGACAACCGAAACGAGCTTTACTCTCACGTATAGACTATGGTGTACGTACACTACAAGGTGCATGTGATGAAATTGATAAACCTGTATATCCTGATGAAGAAGCATTACGTGGAGATGATTTAGTATGTTGTTTACTTATTTTTTTTAATGTTAAAGTTTACTTTGTTGCCATGATTTGTTTAATAAAACTCTCAATTTCCGATAGAATACTAGGGATAACAGAAATTTGGCAAAGTTAAACTTTAGACATCCAAGAGACGCGGCGTTCGAATGACCAATTGAGCTGAAAAACAAATATGAGCCCCTAATTCAACTCTAAGCCTAATCCCTCCCTAACATGAGCTAAAACTAACTAGATATCCTATCTTACTTTATATCATTACACCTCATTCAACAATTTTTTCCCCATGAATGTAGTATTATTTACTGGTTCCACTGCCTTGCTATGACTGGGAGTTTCAAGGTTATGGGTGCGTTCGCTCCAGTTGCTGTCTAGTCTTCAACTTCGGTGGAGATTTTCACTCTGGCTGGTATATCTACGCGAAATTAATAATTTTTTTGATTAAACAGCTGTTTTGTGTGAGTTTAAAACGTCTAAAAGTAAATGACAACTTACTTGAGGGAGTATGAGATACTTATCGCTTTCATTTTTTTCAATGTTTCGGAAATGTCTCATGTCAGCACTGACATAATCAGTCTAGTGAAAATCACAGTGCATAATCATCTCCTGGATGAATTCTATTCACTCATTGTAGTGACTAGTTAGTGTACATCTCCTTAATCAGTATGCGTGTATAAAATTTCAATTCCGGCGAGGGGTGTTGTTTTACAGGAATTGTAAGTTTTGGTGTTATTCCTTTGAATTGTTAATTTGTTTTTTTTGATGTCCCTTACAGTAATTTTTTGCTTTCATTTTTTATTTCAATTTACATGAAGGGTTCTTCATTTGCTTATAATTGGCTTGTATTCATTTTCCAGAGCATAATCTTAGTGTGACAGCATTTTTCAGTCTCTTTAGCTATGACGATTAGAAACGGTTTCAGTAGTCAAGTTTGAGTTCCTCAGAGTTTGGCTTTCATGTACAATAGAGTGATGTATCAGTTAGTTCCGATGAACCTAGTTAAGTTTCGCTAACTTTCTGTGACAAATATCTTTTCGTCATACGGTAGTTGTCTTACTTCTATTGACGGATGTATGACCGAAACCTGTTTCGTGTGTTTAAGGCCTGTCGCCACTATATTTGAAGACTCGGATGCATACTCATGGGCGATTTCTATGTCGTGTTTCTCAGTTATGATGAAAATATCTTCTTGTTATTTGATTCTAAGTTTTAGATTAGTTGACTTCTTCTTCTATCTGTTTTAGTACGGAAGAGTTTCAGTTTCTTCTTCAGTAAGTCACCAGTGATATATCACACATTTTTCTTCACGAACATCTCATAACCTCTTCGAATTGCTTTACACACACTAGAATATGCTGAATTAACTACTAGTATATATCAAATGGTTCCTTAGGTGAATGTTTGTGGAACCTTATATAGCTATCCCACAGCATTTACATACATACATACATACATACATACTAGGGTTATTTGAGTCAATTCTCAAAGATATAAGTCTGTGTCGATAGTTCATCCAGTCAAATATGTTGTCGTAAGTTTAGGTAATTCTATTTTTGCTGACTAATAAACCCAATAATCCAATAACATTGTTGTGTTTTTTTTCAGAATACTAAACGCTGGCGTTCAGAAACATTAGAGCAGGCTCGTGCTGGTGTTCTCAGTCATTTAGGTGCTATGACAATGGCTACTGGTCGTTTGATATCTGGAATTCACTCGCCTGAAGGTCGAGGTCGTGATGGTAAGCATAAAGTGGCATTTTTTATTCATCATTCTTATGTTTTTGTCAGCTTTGTCGTTGAGATATGATATCACTTTCTGCAAATTGTTTTTTATTTTTCCTTTGTCTTGGTTTCCTCGGTTTATTAAAATCATTATAATGTTCTTCTCTTCTGTTGAATGCTTTCAAGCTTAGTTGATGAAGTTGTCCAATGTCCCTTAATTCTGAGTCTTTCTTTAATTGATGTTGGTTACTGATGAGATTTCCCTTGGAGCTTTATCACAGTTACGTCCTCTCACTTAAAATAGTCTTGAAAACATGCATTAATGATCAGTGGATTCATTTTTACATATATTTGGTTTGTGGAGTTTTGATTAGTTATTAAGTATTATTCAACACTCATCGAAACAAGTTAAAACGTCACTGAAAACTAGTGTGAGCTAATTTGCTGTTTCGTCCTGCTTCCAATCTTTGATGGAATTGTGAGTGAACACGACTGAGAAGTTGAAAAAGGAGTCTTTTAGTTTTATGTGTTCCTCTAAGTGATGCCGGTTCGTGAAGAAACTAGTCTTGAAAGAAAACTAATTGCTACATAGTCAACAGGTAAATATTAATCTTATGCTAAGTACTGACTTTTTCAAGATGGATTTCTTAAATTTCTAATGAGAAGCTGTGACAGATTGAGTTATGAGGCAAGAAATCTTACTCATCTCGAGTTATATCTTCGTCAGCACTCCTCATCATGACAAAGGGTGTTTCAAACTGTCTGCTTCAAATGGCTAACAACTTTAAAAAAAATTTCCTTTTCATCAGGTTGTCGTACGATAAACTTTGTGTTAAAGTTTTGAGGTCTTATCGACTGTCCAATGCAATACTAGGTGGAGAAGAAATGAACTAATTAGGAACCTATTACCCAACAGATATGTAGGAGAAAGTGGAGATGTATTGGACGCCCCTTGAGGAGACCATTGAGTGACATAACACGCCAAACTCTTGGGTGGAATCCGAGTATGAAGGGACGAGTTGGACGTTTGAATTTGACATGCAGATGGAAATGAAAGCTTTAGTGTAGTGGTGGAGCCAAGTGTAAATAATGACAGGGAACAGAGTACTATTTACATGTGCTGCTTTGAAGCCATGTCTTCCACTCGGAATGCGAATAGGGAATATTTATAATAATAATAATATATAATAAAGGTGATGGTCAGGAAACCCTTGAACTAGGTTTTATTTTTACTGGTACTCTTTAGCGAGGCGTATCTGCAATCTTCAAGGGACTGATTCTGTCTCGAAGATTAGAACGTGTGTTACTCAAGGTCTGCTGTTGAATTTCCCTAACCACCTAGGATAAATTTAGAGTGCACTCCAATGGTGAATTATTTAGCTTCGTGACCACAATGCCAACTTGATTTCTATAGAATTCATTCAGCTCGTTAAAAGTTAGGATTAAACACATGACATTCTTTATACCCTAATAATCAATTATTGTGCACCTCAGTAATGCTAAGTTAAAAATAAATTCTAAGATGTCACTTAGTACTTTAAAACCTATAATAAGGATTATGCGCACATAGATATCAACATAATATCTATCCAATCAGGTTTTCTCTAAGCTACTTCAAACACTTTCAGTAATTAACTTCATATTTGACTGATTTAATGTTATATATTTAGAATCGTAATTCTATCTTATCATATTAACCATATTGACTGAAGGTAAACGGAATGTCGCTAAGTTATTCAGAAGATAAAGCATTATGAGTGAACTAGCACTTGGATACATTTATTCTAATGTATTTGAATAGCCTAGCAAAATGCCGTTTCCCCTTCATTCACCGATAATTTCGAATTTAAAAAGTATAATTCATGCTTAAAATAAAACCCATTAATATTCTTCAATTTTTATTGGTTTCACTCTATGCATATATTTAACTACAAAGTTATTTACTTGAAATTTTGTATTTATCTTATTTGAAGGCCCTAATCATTGTTAGATTCAAACATTTTTGTAATATCTACGTTTATGTATATGTATATATATATATTGATCATTGATTATTATGTCGCGCGCTACCTAGTGTTTAGGGCGTTTCATTTAAATTTTTGTTTAAAATTTATCCTATGACCTATAATCGAATAGACTCCATAGTGGAATTATGATTATTATACTTGAAATTAGGCAAATTAATAGAATAAATTGTCTAAAGTCTAATTACATAGTGTACAAAAATATGGTAGAATGACTGAAGTCAATATTTAGTTATTTGTTATTATTGTTGTTGTCGTCGCGATTAAAGCCTCATTAAATAACTGTCTATTTTCTTCTTTGTGTGTGTTTCACACTGGAAGAAGTATCTTTCGATTAACATAAATAACTAGACAACAACACTGCCCATACAATCCTGAATTAAACTATCTCACTACTCTGTTATTTAGAGAAAGGAAAGGCCTTTTTTTGTTGAAGCTGAACATATAACATCTGGTAATTTTAGAATTATAGACGAAAACAGTTGCGTTTAGACATAGAAAGAGGCAGTACTGAACAGCTCTCCCATCGTAGTTCAAGATTTTTCATCAGTGCATTCCAGAGGGGGGGGGCACAACCAAGTCAGGTGTGAGAATGAATGCTTGTCGACTACATTGGCTGGTGGCGGTTGCGTTAAAAATGGTGAATTAACAAAAGTCATAACTCATAGGTGATTGGATTCCTCATCCGCTGGTTGAATAGCCGACGAGTAGCTCACTTCGTAACTTGAAGGTCGTCCTTGATTTAATCCCTAGTGGGTTCATGAGCACTTGCCGCTGAAGAATTCCAAACAAGGACAAAACAACTCTCTAATATTCGCTGGTTTTCAGTGATTCTCCTAACTTTGGTCAATTCATGATCAAATTTGAAACCAATCAAATGTTTATAAACTAACACTCGAAGACAAAAGATCAACTGCTGAAATGCATGTTGGTGAGAAACTGTAGAGTGAGGTAGAAGTTTCTCAGTTTTCATAACGCCTCTGTCTTCAAATCTACTTATAATAATTATTATTATATCTTTTAATTCCTAGAGGAACACAGGGCTTCAGCCGCACGTTTCCATTGCGTTCGGTTCTCCACTAGAGTTTTCACCTGGCTCCAAGTCTGCCCACGTGCTTTCACTTCCTCCTCACATAACCTCCTCCAAGTCACCTTCACACTGACAACCAACTCACCGCTTCCCGTTCGGGTTCCACTCGAGCGATGGCTTGTCTAGTGATGTCACTTGGTGGTTTGTTTCCTCAGAGTATGGCCAATCCATCTCCATTTCTTCCTGCCTATCTGTTTCACAATCGGTTCCTGTTGTGTTGGTTCTCTCATTGTCAGAGATCCCTGTTGGTGATCTTTTCTGGCCGGCCATCTGATCTTGAGTGGTATTGAGCGAAGAAGGAAGCTGTTGATGAAGGTCTGTAGTTTGTTTGAGATGCTCTTTATGACGCACTGGCCAAGTCTCTGATCCGTATGGTAGCACTGACTGACTTCACATTGGAGTTGAAAATCGGGATGTTATTTTTGATGGTGAGTGGGGCTGTTGACCTCCACACAGACTTGAGAGTAGTGAAAGCTTGTCTTGCTTTCCCAATCCTCGCTGCTTTGATATCCTCGTCAGTTCCGTCCGCCTGTAGTTGAAACGACGCTTCCCAGGTTGGTGGGTGAAGGAGGTTGTTTCTTTCAGGTTCCTCCTATTTACGCTGATTGTTGTCTGTTGTTGTTGCTGTTCTTGTTGGCCAGGTATCTTCAGCACCTCTGTTTTCTCAATGTCCACTTGAAGTCCTATCTTCTCTGGATGCTTCTTGTGCCAGCTTGTTGCTTTTCACTTGCATATCTTTCAGTTTGTAGGAAATCAGACATATATCAATCATCGGCGAAGTCCAGATCCTCCAAGTTTTTTGTGTGAGTCCATTTTATGCCTTTTTCCTGATTGCGCGTTGTCTGTCGCATTATCCAATCTATTGCAATCAGGAAGATCATTGACGATAGTAGACAGCCTTTCTTCACTCCCGTCCTCACTTCGAAGGCTTCCGTAATTTTCCCGCTGTGGATTACTTGTCATGCAGCATTGTCGTATAACTGTTGGATCAGATGTATAATTGTCGATGGGACCCCGTAGTAGCGAAGTAGTTGCCAAATTACCTCTCGATCGACGCTGTCGAAGGCCTTTTCAAAGTCGATGAAGTTGAGATAGAGAGGTGACTGCCATTCCAAGCTTTGTTCAATGATGATCCGTAGTGTGGCGATTTGATCAATACATGACTTGTTTTTCCTCAATCCAGTTTGTTCCGGTCGAAGTTTTTCATCCAGGGCTTATTTGATCTTCCTCAGGATGATGCGGCTTAGTATTTTGCTTGGGATGAACAGGAGCATAATTCCGCGCCAGTTTTTGCATTGACTTAAGTCTCCTTTCTTTGGTAATTTGAATAAGTATCCTTTCTTCCAATCCTCGGGTACTTTGCCCTCTTTCCACAACTTCTCCAGTAATGGCGTCATCATAATTATAATAACTTATAATTACAATAACCTAAATATTTGAAATCTGTTATTGGTTTTGTTGTATTGGTCCATACATCTAAAATGTTTGTTTTTTGTAGACACCTGTTTTTGTATTTTGTCTACGTACATATGAAATCTGTCAACGTGTAATTTCCTGTTAAAAATGTCAATACTTTCTTTATTTGAAGTGAATAAATATATTGGACTTTTGAATAATGTAGTCATAATTATTATTACAACTGCAAATTATCTGCCATCTACCTGAAACAGAATAACTTCTGTTTATTGTTGTAGGGTTCTCTTAACTGAATGGTTTAACTGCTAAGCTTCCATTGTCTTTCTAGGTAATATTTTTTTCGCTGACTTTAATATTAAGTGGACTGTTCCCGATTCCGATTATTTTGAATGTGATTAGTTGTCTCTAGAGCTTGTCTTAGGATTGTAGCCATCTGTATTCATATTGAATGTTCCGCTGACCAAATGTTTGACCCTTTGATCATGTA